TATTTTTTTTTTTTTTTGATTTTGGACCCTTTTAACATGAAATAAAGCACTTATTCAGTACCTGAGATTATCAGTGCTATAGTTTATATGCTACTGTTCCAGCCGTGACGTTGCATAAATAGAAACCATTTCTAAAATTGAATCAGCTGCGGTGGCTGGTTAGGACAAAAACTCTAACGAACATAGAAAAGATACATCATGTTTTGCATTTGGTTAGGACACAGCGTACATTCAATTACACATAAGGGGAGACCTTTAATATTCTGACAAGGTATTTTCTTTGAGTTTTTATGTTATGAGTCGATTTATCCATCAACATGCGGTTGCTCTGTCAAATTAGAGCTTGAAGAACACTTGCCTTTTTGTCCCACTGTTGATGAAGATAACGCAGAAGGATGTTTGTCTTCTCTGTGACGATGACTGTGAGGAGAGAGAAAACCTCTAAAAATCTGCGTTTTGCGAGAATCATTCAGTTGAATTTTTATTGTGTAATACAGGTCTACATTTGTACAACACAAGCACTCACTCTGTTCGGAGGGATACTCTCGTGTAGGCAGATATACTGATGGCCTTCTGTTCTGAAAGACAGAAAAAAAATGGACTGTTAATGATTTGAACAAAACCTGACACTATAATTCACAACCGCGGGGTGAAAACGCTCAGTGAATATTCAGAAAGATGATGTTAACGGCTCACAAAGAGCACCGTAAAACAGCAAACCTTACCGATGCTTTACATACAGAGTCGGCGTGAAATCTGCTGAAGTTTGTCTTGTTATACACAGGTAGACCTTTCAGGAAATCTGCCTTCAAAACATTCAGAGACAAAAAAAGAGGTTAAAATCAAACGCTTGCTCGGAATATACCAGAAGTGTTAAATTAACATGATTGATATTAAACAGGTCTTCGTCTAGAGAGAAAAGACACATTTTTCTTGGTGTTCACTTATCCCTGAATTTAGTAAGAACGATTGTTGATTCAGTGAATGATTCAGTGAACATAAATGGTCTTTTACAAAAATACTGTAGCCTCCTTTTAATCTCTAGAGATCTACTGACAGTTTACATACAGCTTACCATCCCAGAAAAATATCAATTGCTCATAACTGACCATAAAATCAATCTGCCAATGATCTGACAGATTTAAAGCAGTCAGACAGAAAGCATGACGCATTTAGCTAGCAATCAATGACAGGATCATAAATGCACATCTAAATAATAAATCTCAAGAAATGCATCTCATTTGCAAGTATGCTGAGAGAGTAAACTCAAATGCAGATGGAGGATGATGCATGTCAACCTTTGGGCGTTGCCAGTCTAGTCCACTAGATGTGTAAAGGACATAAGCTTCAACTTTATTCATTTAAGTTTTCAAATCGTATTTAATCATAATAACACTAGTGAAATAAACATATCCAGGTCGTGACTGTTGAACAAAAGCTTTGGCAAGTCTCGCTCGCGCTTCTCAGCATGCTAACACACGCTAACACATTAGCATACAAAAATGACATGTGTGAGGAGATTTAAAGATCACTCAAACACCAAATCATCTGGTAACCATGAACAAACGTTTTACAACCGGATTCAAACACGCTACCATGTTTATTTCAGGCTGTTGCGGTAATAAAAGTGTATATGTACAATCCATGAGTGTCTGAAGCGGCCTAGCATGCTAACTCAGTCACCAAAGCAGCTTGTCAGCTGAAAGCGACTCAAATCTCATCGATACAGTTCAGACTTCAGTATTTTAGATGATATTTCAACGCCCAGTCCTTTGAAGCTGTGGTTACTCAGCTGTGACGTGAAAATAAGATGAAGTTTTGAGTGCAGGAACTTACTTTGTCCATAGTGAAGTCAGTTCAGTCCTGTAGGTGTGTGTTTGTGTTCAGACAGGCCTGAACACTGACAGAAATCAGAGATTTGAAGCCGGTAACACTCACTCACTCACTCGTACTACTGAATACGAAACTAAAACACAGAAATACGCGTGAACACAAATATGCAACAGCTACACTCCACAGTACTGACTCTGCTAATGTTACAGCTCACAGATACCGACTGACAAGCGTCTGAGATATTACTGCAGTTATTCTGACCTTTACTTGATCAAAATCAGTCAAGATTTGACAGCAGAAAGACTCGAGCTGAAGCTGGACGTTTCTACAATTACACTAACAGAGCTTTGACTGCAACTCTAAACTATCAATCAGAGACAGAAGACATGAGCAGATTGTGTGTGAAACAGGTTTAACAGCAAAGTTTGATCATGTTGAAGTCTTAGAAATGTGAGTGTCAAATATGATACAGTAGGTTTCATAGGGTTAAAAGTCACACAGGTTTAGCGCAACAGTAGCCGATGACAGAATGATCATGTTTTAGTGCTGTTTCTCTATAACAAGCCACAATCTTCAGGAGAGATGCAGTACAGTGGAGCTGCACAGAAAGCAAGATGGAGACAGATAAAACGACAGAGAGAGAGAGGTGACTTTGAGAAGCTGGACTCAGTCTCCTGGCAAGCGTCTCTCTCTCTCTCTCTCTCTCTCTCTCTCTCTCTCTGTGTGTGTGCTGTAATTTTCAGTCATGCGTGGTGTGTATAGTACCAAATCACGTCTTTACAAAGTCTTTACCATGGTAACCGTAATGTCCTTCAAAATACAGTAGCCATGGTTGTTGCTATAAAATCTATAAAAAGAACCTGGCATTAAACACAGCTGTTCAAGCCAATCAGGGTTATTACAGTAATCTGAAACTAAAACTAAACCCATAAAAATACGTTTTTATTACATGAAATAAAATAGAATATTAAAAAAAAAAAATTAATTTCAGATTAACGTCAACATTTCTCATTTTCATTTAGCCTAGTTTAAAGGGGTCATATGGTGCGATTTAAATTTTTTTCCTTTCTCTTTGGAGTGTTACAAGCTCTTGGTGCATAAAGAAGATCTGTAAAGTTGCAAAAGACTAAAGTTTCAAATCCAAAGAGATATTCTTTATAAAAGTTCAGAGTCAACCACGCCTACCTAAAACGGCTCGTTCTAACACGCCCCCACATACCTACGTCACGATCTGGGAAGATTTGCATAACACCGCCCAAATGTTCACGCAAAGAAAAAAGGCGTAACTTTTATTCTCGCTGTAGTATTGTTTTTGCCGCCGCTGCCAGGTCATGAAGGCGCTGTGTGTTTTGTTGTGAAAGCGAAACTACTTTGTTTGGCCTTCCAAAAGAGGACCATATCTGCTTCATCATGCCTGGAGCTGATCCGTGCTGGCCGCTGAGGAAATACATCAACTTCGTGCTGTGGATC